GATGTTTCTCTCTCATCGATGCTTCTAACTCTCTATCCCTCTCCCTTCCTCTCTGTAAAAAATCAATGAAATATATTTTTTTAAAAAGGTGAACCCTTTACCAAAGAACATATATACATAGTAAATAAGCACTTGTAAAGATGTTCAACATCATTGTTAATTAGGGAATTCAAAGTAAAACCACATTGAGAGACAACAATATAACTGTTAGAATGATTAAAACTTTAAAAATCTAACCATACCAAGTGGTGGTGAGAATATAGAGGAACTGGAACTCAAGTATATTGTTGGCATGCATGTAAAATGATACAACCACTTTGACAGCAAGCTTAGCAGTTTCTTAAAATGTTACACATACACCTTCTTTACAATCTAGTCATTACACTCCTAGGTACTTTACCCAGAAGAAATAAAAGTACATGTCCACACAAAGACTTATACACAAATGCTCACAGCAACTTTGTAATAGCCAGAAACTAGAAACAAATACAACTGTCCATCAAAAGGTGAATGGGTAAACAACATGTATTCCGGCCATACAATGGAATACTACTCAGCATAAAAAAGGAATGAATTATTGATGCACGTTAGAATATGGCAAGGTTGCGGGTTTGATCCCCGGTCAGGGCACATACAAGAATCAACCAATGAATGCATAAATAAGTAGAACAACAAATCAATGTTGCTCTCTCCCCTCTCAAAATAAAAAGGGGAAAAAAAGAAAAACAAAATATTCTCAGTGAGGATTAACAACAATTTACTGTTAACTTTGAGTGGCTTTTTTTTCATGTTTTTTTTCCTTTGAAGTTTTTTTTAAAATCTTTATTGTTTAAAGTACTACATATGTCCCCTTTTTTCTCCCATTGACCCCTTATAGCCCGCCCCCCCCCTTTTTTCTTTTCTTTTTTTGTTTTTGTTAATCCTCACCAGAGGATTTTTTTTTCATTGCTTTTTTAGAGAAAGTAGAAGGGAGGGAGAAAGGGGGAGAGAGAAAGAGAAACATCAGTGTGAGAAAGACACATTGATTGGTTGACTCCCACACGTTCTTGACTGGGACTCAAACCCTCAACCTTTCGGTGCGCCGGCCCACACTCTAACCACCGAGCCAGGGCAGCCAGGGAAACTTTGAGCTTTGATAGCTATTCCTGGTTTATTGGGGGGGGGGGGGCGTTAAGTTCTTACCATTTTTTGTTTGTTTGCTAATCCTCACCCAAGGATATTTTTTCGTTGATTTTTAGAGAGAATGGTAGGGAAAGGGAGAGACAGAGAAACACTTTTGTCTTTTCTATTGGTTGCCTCCCCCACGCGCCCCTAGGGGCGGGGATCAACCGAAGGTACTGAATCAAACCCAAGACCCTTCAGTCCCCAGCCTGATGCTCAAACCCGTGACCCTTCAGTCCGCGGGCTGATGCTCTATCCACTCAGCCAAGCCTGCTAGGGCAAGTCATTACCATTTAGACATACATACTGAAACATTTACAGACAACAACAACAAAGAACAGATTTGATTAGCTTCAAAATAACCTGAGGTCAAGGAGGGAAGGGGGAGGAGAGCGTAAATGAAACAAGAGTGGCCATAAGTTGGTCATAGTTGACTCCGGGTGATAAACATATGGAGATTCATTATATTATTCTCTCCGCTTTCGCATGGGTTTGAAACTCGTATAACAGAAGGTTTTAATTACCTCTATAATCTCCACCCAGTCTTCTTTTTTTTTTTTTTAAGAGTAACTTTATTAGTTTTAGAGAGAGGAGCATCAATGTGAAAGAAAAACATTGATCAGTTGCCTCTCTTACACCCTTGTCCGGTGACAGAACCGCAGCCTGGACATGTGCCCTGACCTGGAATCGAACCCCAGTCAAGAGCTACGAAGGGCCCTCGCTGGTTTGGCTCAGTGGCTAGAGCATCGGCCTGCAGACTCAAGGGTCCCAGGTTTGATTCCGGTCAAGGGCACGTGCCCAGGTTGCGGGCTCGATCCCCGGTGGGGTGGGGGAGGGGGCAGCCAATCAATGGTTCATCATTGATGTTTCAATCGCTCCCTCTCCCTCTCTGAAATCAATTTAAAAAATAAATAAAAGAGCTACAAACATCAGCGAGTTTCTAGGAAGAACCCTGCCCGCGGTCCGGCCTGCCCACCCCCACCCGCGTGCAGGGATTCCCAGGCCTAACCCAGCCCGTCCGGTCCCGGTCCACAGGCTCACCTGGGCCCCGGTGCCGCTTCTCCATCCAGATGTAGCAGTTGTTTTGGGCCACCCCGGTCTGCGAGTCCAGGAAGGGCAGCCGGACACTGCGCTCGGCACACAACCGCGAGTTGTAGCTCCGACAGTGTTCGATCGCCTCTTTGTAGAACTGGTCGCCGAGCCTGGCGGGCGACAGAGAGGAGGGTGAGGCCAGGGAACCCGACTCACAGCCGGGTGGGTTTGCCGTCCTGAAGGCCAGTGAGGACCGGGCCCTGGCCCGCGGGCACATCCAACCCGGTGTCGCCTCTCCACCGGTTCTGGTTCCTGGAAGGAACCCACCAGGAACCTTAGAAACCTCTTTCTCCAAGAACCCAGGGCCCCGAGCGCACACTGGGGGAAATTAGTAAACCGAGACCTCATTTAAAACGGAGTCTGGAGCCTGGAAGTGAGAACCCTTAGGACCGAGCCGTCCTAGGCCCGCCGCCCTGGTCATCCCGGTGGCCGAAGCGCTCCCAGCCCCTCTACGCGCCGCTATGGCCTCCACAGGAAGTGATGCCCGCGCTCCCTCCCGGAGGGGACGCCGCCGTGCAGCCGCCAGGCAGCCAATGGGAGGCAGACGCCGCCAGGAATGAGAAGTCACAGAACTTCCAACTTTTGTTTTTTGCCGATTGAGTCTTCCCGGACAGCAGCCCCTCCCAAGCCCAGAAACGGTTCCTCTCCTTTGTTTCTCGGATTTGGACAAGTCACCATTAGAGAACGACCATAACTGCCAATTCTTGTGTTGTCCCCCAGAGAACCAACTTTGCTGGAGAAAGACCTGGACATTTGTTTCACCGAGAATGACAAGTCCCTGTTCTAGGAAGCACGCGGTTCCGTTTCCAAAGAGAAGTAGCTCTGGAACCACCTTGTGCATGGGACCTCCAGGAAGAGCCGGCTTCTAGAGCGCCCTCATTAACATGCCCCAGGAGACACACTTTGTTCTCAGTGATTGCCAGCAAAGACAGTCTAGAACAGTGGTTCTCAACCTTCCTAATGCCACGACCCTTTAATACAGTTCTTCATGTGGTGGTGACCCCCAACCATAAAGTTATTTTCGTTGCTACTTCATAACTGTAATTTTGCTATTGTTATTCATCGTAATGTAAATATCTGATATGCAGGATGTATTTTCATTTGAACATAATAAAAGCATAGTGATTAATCCCCAAAACAATATGTAATTATATATGTGTTTTCCGATGGTCTTAAGCGATCCCTTTGAAAGGGTCGTTCGACCCCCAAAGGGGTTGCGACCCACAAGTTGAGAACCTCTGGTCTAGAATGAACCCTACTCTCCAGCATAGATGCACAGATTTCCATTACAATAGACCAGGGGTCCTCAAACTTTTTAAACAGAGGGCCAGTTCACTGTCCCTCAGACCGTTGGAGGGCCGGACTATAGTTTAAAAAAAAACTATGAACAAATTCCTATGCACACAGCAGCGGCAAAAACATCCGGCGGGCCGGATAAATGTTTTCGGCGGGCCACATGTGGCCCGCGGGCCGTAGTTTGAGGACCCCTGCAATAGACAAACCATCTAAATAAAAGACTTAGAAGGACAGAGGAGACAATCCATGATGGGAGAGCTATGATTAGGGAAGGAGGTGAAGAGGGGCATGCACCAGTCTTTTAAAACCACACACTTAAAAAAAAAAACAAAAAAAAAACCAAAAAAAAAAAAAAAAAAAACAAACAAACAAAAAAAAAACCACACACTTATAGAAAAATAACTTTCTGCCCTGGCCGTTGGGCTCAGTGGATACAGCATTGACCTTTGCACCAAAGGGTAGCAGGCTCGATTCCTGGTCAAGGGTACATACCTTGGATGCAGGTAATCAATCAATGTGTCCCTCTCATCTCTCTCTCTCTCCCCCCTCACCTCACTTTCTTCTACTCTAAAAATCAATGGAAAAAATATCCTCAGGCCTGGCCAGTGTTGCTCAGTGGTTGAGTGCCAAACTATGAACCAGGAGGTCATGGTTTGATTCCTGGTCAGGGCATGTGCCCAGGTTGTGGGCTCAATCCCCAGTGTGGGGCATGCAGGAGGCAATTAATCGATGATTTTCTCTCATCATTGATGTGTCTATCTCTCCCTCTTCCTTCCTCTCTGAAATCAGTAAAAATAATTTTTAAAGTATATTTTAATATTTTTTTAATATATTATATATATACACATATATATCTATAAATATATCCTCAGGTGAGGATAACAAAAATAAATAAATAAACAAAGCTCAATAGAGCTTTAAAAAAAAAAGAACTTTCTGATGATAAATAAAAGAAGCATTTAAAATAATAATAGTTGATTTTGAACTCAAAATAATTCAATTCAAAACCTAGAAAGATCTTTCTGGTTTTCTGATTAAGCACAGTAAATTGTATATTCCTGAATCTTTGGTATCCTTGGACATGTGGTAATGCTACTAATTTTAAGATAGTATCCTTTTCAAAGGCCAAAAATATAACATTTATAAAAACTGATCAAATGTAAGGCACATACCTAAAACTCACATCAAATAATATTGAAGGTTGAGAAAACCAAGATGGCGGCATAGGTAAACACCTGAAATTGCTGCCTCCCACAACCACTTCAAAAACACAACTAAAAGACAAAACGAACATCATCCAGAACCACAGGAAGCCTGGCTGGGTGGAAATTCTACAACTAGAAGGAAAGAGAAAAGCACACTGAGACTCAGAGGAGGTGCGAAAGTAAAGTGCAGAAGTACGGAGGCACACGCAGAAAGGGCTGGCAACTGAGGACACGGTTGTCTTTTTCAATTGGGAAGGAGACACAAGCTCCCGATGGCCCCGACTCCAGTTCCAGGCGAGTCTCTGGGGACCCAGACTCATACGGGGAGAAACTGGACTGTCTGGCAGCGGGCGGAACTCGAGGGCGGCTTTTTCTCAGAGGTGCTTGCAGCGATTAACTCAGGACACTGAGACCCAGAACCTCTTAGGGCAGGACTGAGGATCAGCCATAGCTGTTTGCTCCACCCTGTTGATTCCCTGAGACCCCGCCCCACCCAAGCTGTGCGCAGAGGCTTTTGCATATGAATGACCTGGCCCTTTGCAATCTAAAATTACCTAACAAACTGCAGCTGGGTCAGAGAGACCCAGAACATCCAAAAGAAGGCCCAAAGGCTCCACAGCAGCTTGCATTGCTTCATAGCTGGTCCTCATCGGGGACCTCCAAATCCCAAGCAAAGAAGAGGAATCTGCAGATCTCTCCGTAGCTCCAGCTGGGTAGCCTCAGGCAGAGGCTAAATTAGCACCTCCTTAGAGATCCAAGAGCCAGTGTACCCAGTGGT